AGGTTAAATTAAAAGAAAACCATTTTTCTCTCGAGGTAAATCAATACATTTTAAGCGAAATTACCCTAAATTTGATACTTCAAGACTGAGTATTCCTAGGTACGAATTTAGCGAAAGAAAGAAAAAATATATGATCTGTAATACTTCCTCCTTCAAAATATTTTAATTGGTCACGCTCAACGCGTCGAAGGAAGACGGTTCTCTCAAGCTGCAGCTTGTAGTAATTTATTTTTACATTTTCTTCCTGGATAAATTAATTTTCGAATAAAATAATTGTCAGATACTTTGGAACGGTCTGATGTAGCAACGCCCACCTCTAGCTTTTTAAAACTAATTATATTAGCCAGCGTCATTGTTTATATAGGAAACAATACCAGCGTTAATTACCTGGGCCGGTTTTGTTTTTAGTTTCTGTGTTGAAAGTAAATAAAATTTCCTTCGCCTTCCTAAATTTATAGAGGTTATGCGTTTACCTCTCGTCCAATGTGTTTGCTATAATTACAATTAACACTGTTATTCTTCTATTACACACTGCACGCAAAATCAGCTAAATTATCGACTCACAATAACCAAAAATTGTAATTATTATGGAGCAGATTTTACACACGTCTATTCTTTACACTAGAGATTCGGAAGAAAAATCCATTCAATACATAGACTCTTTTATTCAGATAACAACTTTTATTATTATATACCAAAATAAGTCTTAAAACCTACCTCAAATAAAGTTCCAATTTCACAAGTTCTGATAGTTTTTTAACATCAATATTTATTTTTATCATAAACCCAGATAGACGAAACAAAACAGTGTATCTAATCATTTTTTTGCTGCTAGAAATTCCGGTCGCACTGTAGCCGATTGTGAAGTTCAGATAACTGTTATCAGATTTATCAGAACACAGTTATCTCAACTTCTTCTTTCTTACTTTTTAAACTATGGTTGATGTTTTACCTTTTATTGAGTAAACTAAGCAATTAACAAGTAACCCAGATGGGCTTGACAAAGTCTCATACTACATTACACTGGGAAGCAATCTCTACATCTATCTCCTAATTGAATTCTGTTCCCTATTTTATAATATTTGTCAAACATGTACATGGCACTCTAAACAAGGCCATGTTTATATACTTAGTTTGTGTAATATATATATATATATATATATATATATAATATATATATATAATATATATAATCAGGGATTCTACAGTATTCACTGCCTTCCCTCGCTTAACTGTTTCCATGTCTCTCTGTTGTCCCATTCTCCATCGCTTAGGCCTCTCTTACTCATGGCGTCATCTACTTTGTTCCTCCAGGATCTTCGGGGTCGTCCTCTTTCCTCCTTCCTATGGGGCTCCATTCGGCTATTCTCTTTATCCATCTGCTATCGCTAGTTCTTCTTACATGTCCATACCACTTTAGTCTTTTTTGTTCTATATATGTTAGTATGTCTGTTTCTATTGATGTTCTTTGCTTTATTTCGTCATTACTTCTTCTATCCATTCTTGTTACTCTGCAGCATCTTCGCAGGCATTCCATCTCTGTTGCTACTGTCTTACTGCTGTTTTTCTTATATATAATCCAATTTTCTGCCCCATATGTCATAATACTTCGCACTAATGTTTTATGAATCTGTGTTTTTGTCTTCATCTGTTGGTATCTATCCCACCATACTGAGTTAAGTTGCCGGATTGCTGTTCTTGTTTGTCCTAACCTTTGTGTAATTTCTTCCTCTGTTGTTGCCTTTTTTCGTGATTATAAACCCCAAGTATTTGAATTTATCCTTTCCTTTGATTGTTACGTTGTCATCAATCTGTAGATCTTCTATGTCTTCTTCACTTGTCTCTGTACTCTGTTTTCGCGAGCTTAACATCTAGGCCAGCCTTGGTATATTCTTCTTGTAATTTCTTCATCATGTAGCTGAGGTCGTCTTGGTCTTGTGCAATCACTACTTGATCGTCTGCAAAGCTTAACGTATATAGGTATTCGTTCCGTACGGGTACTCCCATGCCTTCGCATTTTCTTTTCCATGTAGTCAAGGATTTCTCTAAGTATATTTTAAATAGGATTGGCGATGTGGAACAACCCTGCAGGAGCCCTTTTGTTGTAATGAAGTCTCCTATGATTCTTGTTCCCACTTTAATGGACACTTTATTATCTTTATTCAGAGCTTTTGTAGCTTCTGTGAGTTCCTTCTGTATTTCTAATTATCGCTTGCTCCATCTTTTCTCGCAGTATCTTCCCATATAATCTTCCTATTGATAATATTACGGTTATTCCTCTGTAGTTTTCGTATCGTTTTCTATCTCCTTTCTTAATATAATTACACTTATCGTGTAATATAAATATATTTAATATACTTTCGTGGTCCTATGTAGGTAAATAGTTAAATCTATTAAGCTATTCTTACACTTATTAATGAGAGTAAGGGTTTGTTTCTCTTACTCTACACCTCCCATCGAAAAAATAAATGAAAGTAAAGGTCAATAACTTTTCTTTCATTTCCTGTATCCTTATAATTACCTTAACATCAGCATATTATAAGGTTACCCTGCTTGTTTCCTTGTAATGTGCTATCTATTATCCTTCATTATGGCTTATGTTATTCATTAGCTTAATATTTTACCTACATTATTTTACCTTGCATTAAATTATTTAGAATATATTACAAATTACCTCTATTATGCACACATAATATTTACATATTGTACATAATAAATAAAAAATTACAATGATAAAATCTTATATTAATTCTTGGTACCAAGTAATAGTTCTGTTTTCACTTTTTGTGTACACGATTAATCATTTTGACATGTCACAATAAAGTTTTACCGTTTTGTCCATTTATTCATTTATCCATATTTCTTTTGTTTAACTACTAGATAGATAGATTTAGGGAGGAGGCCTTGTGGCCTATTCCACTACGACCGTTTCAGATCTATTGTGGTCCTCTAGTCCTAGATCACATTCTCTAGCTTGACCATTTTTAAATAACTTCGAGACTGTACCTTCCATGTAGCTATTTGCCGGTTGATTTTCTTCTCCTAACGCAAAGAACCGTACATTTGCCAGACTGTTACACTGACATAGAATTTGCTCTGCTGTTTATTCTTCGAGGTGGCAGAATCTGCACAGGTCATCATCCGATAATCCCATCAGCTTCAAGTGCCTATTCAGCTGACAGTGCCCTGTTAGAAGACCTACTATGGCTTTTACTGTTTTTCTGTCTTTGCTTATTAGGTCTGCCGTAAATTTTGGCGAATGTTCTGTAATGAACTCTTTCGCTTGTCTTTGTCCTGGTGAATTCCTTCACCATTCCAGAGATTTGTGAGCTACTCACTTCCTGGTAGCCGTTCTTGTTACTGTCTTTGCAACGCCGCAGAAGGGTTCTGTCCAATGAATGGCATTGATACCCAGGCTACCGTAACCTTGCTACGGTCTTCTAGTTTATTTAGGGCACACACACAATCCCATACTAGCTTAGAATTGACCTCTACAGGATTGAGTGCTTTAAGCGATGCCTATCTGTGAAGATGGCAACTGAACGGAACGTTCTTTCCTGCCTTTCTATTTCTTCCACGCGGTGATGGATTGCCGTTATTTCCGACTGAAAAACTGTCACATCCTTAGATAGACTTACTGGAAATGTATCCTTTGATTTGTCCCTACTATGCCGGCTCCCACACCCTCCGATGTTGTTTAACTACTATACAGTCTACCATTTTTTTGTATACACAAATATATTGTACGAACTTAAAAGTACTTTAAATATATATTTACACATTATACTCATTTAAATATATTTTTATATATTATTCGCATTCAAAAGGATATTTATATATTACGAGTATATTCATTGACTCTATGTGCAGCAATGCTAAGTTTTGCTTCCTTAATTATTCCAGCCATAAACTCTGTGCCTTGGTCTGCTATTATTTTTCTGAGTACTCCATACCTCAAAATAAAATTTTTTACCAATAATTTGGCTACTGTTTCGGCTTCTTTATTCTGTATTACGTATTCTTCTATGTATTTGCTTAATTCGCATTGTACATCAATATAATATATCTGTTCCCATTGTCATCCATCCCAAATGGGCTCACCAGGTCTATGAATATCGTATCAAATGTGCTATGTGTATTTGCTTAATTCGCGTTGTACATCAATATAATATATATGTTCCCATTGTAATCCATCCCAAATGGGCTCACCAGGTCTATGAATATCGTATCAAATGTGCTGGTGGCTATCGATGTGATAGTCGTGGGTTCCTTGTTTATGATTGAGCCTTTGGCAGTCTCATCTCATATCTTCACATATTTCTCAACATTTCTCCGTAATCTGTTCCAGAAATAGTATTTCCTTATATTTCTGTACTATATATACATCCTATTTATATTTCCATATCCTCCTGTAGGTAACATGTAGAAGTCCTCCATTATAACTCTTCTTAATTTTCGATCTGCCATGTTTTGTTTATCTTGTACAATAGAAACTTTTATACCTTTTTCTTAAAAAAAATTTTCTTTAATCTTTTCGTATTTTATTAGGAATTGGCTGATTCTTATTTTTCATCTCTTCTTATTCTCATTTTTTATTATTGTCATTTTCTTTATAATCTTCTGCACTCACATGTGTGAGTCTAGAAATCTCACCAAGTCTCCGAGCGACGCTCGCAGTGCAGACACTGATCGACGGTCTTTATATTTCAGAGTCCTTCAACGACGCTCTCTCTCTCTCTCATTCTCAATGCTGACGTTGATCGAGAATCTCGAATTAAATAAAGAATAACATCATCTTCATAAAACACTATATTGTTTTCTGTGTGTAAATTAGCAGATTCTAAATTCATTACTCCGTATTCATTACTGTCTATTAATTTCACTTCTATAGCATTTTTCGGTACCATCGTCATATTGGTACCATTGATTTATGATGTCATAAAATTGATGATGTGCATTGGGCTTCCTTAATCTAAGTAAAAGGGTATTCTTTTTTGTAGCTAGAATGGCAGCCTGCTTGTTAGCTCTTCAATTAGTTCCTGGCAAGAAGAGTCCAGAGACAGCAGCACTGATAAAATCTTTATTGGATTGGTTAGAACAAACAAAACAAGCAAATGCTGATAATGAGGGAATTACAAGTGAAACTATAGCACAGTCTCTCATTGAAGAATATGCTCTACGATTGTTTAGTCATGCAGATGAACAGGATCGTGCTGAAATATTTAATAAGTATGTTTTGATTTAATTGAAACTTATTCTGTAAATAAGTTTAATATCATTCTTTGAAATGTTCTTATGAAACTACTAAATATGAGTGAATGAAGTTGTAAACGCTTATGGAAGTTACTACTTATATTTTAATTACTATTTTTGTTGGGAATAATCCACAAGTTTAAAATAAGTTTATTTTTGACGTTTCGATTTCCACTTCGGAAATCGTTATCAAAATACAAACAGTAATTATTATTATACTCCATTCGCTTAGCTCGGGCATATTTTGACAGATTCATTGTCGGAAACTTACAACACAACAATTACTACTTCTCAGTATTAATAGCGTAAGTATACTACTATTGCAGACTTCTTTCTTTGAAAAAAGAAGAATTATTCTAAATAGTGGAAGTGCATACTAAACCCATCAAATTTTGGGTAGTATATATTTAAAAAATATATTTTAGTTGTTATAATTTAACATAACTATTTATTATATGGTGCAGATAAATAGATATTGATTGTCGGTAATTCGCAAAGTTCTATTTTATTTACTATTTAGTTTGTTTACTATTAATATTGGCTATGAGTACGTGTGCTTGGTTGTATAGTAATTTACAGCCCTTTTAGTCTGTCAAAAAGTATCTAACTTCGCAAAAAAATAATTACTAAATTCACTAGACAGTTCGGACTGGGATTAGCGAACCGAGTATATCTTATTTTTCATAATATTCTATAATTTAAAGTGCGTAGGCAATAAACAATCGAAAACTAGTTATCAACAACTTTTTCTTCTTTTTATGTAGACATGACTCTTGTCTATTTTTCAATGTGCATCCAGGTAGTTGTCGTTCCATCGTTTACGTGATATTCCTCTTAGAACCGTCTCTTGCCGTTTTTACTACTCTATTTATTGTCATTAGGCTTATATGATCGTTCCATTCTACTCTTCTATTTCTTTTCCAGTACTTGATATTCCCCACCTTCGTCTACGTCGTATATCTGTACTTCTAGCTCTGTCCCATAGTGTTTTGCTATCAATTTTTCTAAGTGTTTTCATCTCTGCTATTTTTAATATCGTTTTTGGCCTCTCCATGTCAGGTGGTGTTTCTGCCGCGTATGTCATTATTGGTCTAATGACTGTTTTGTAAATTCTGCCTTTCATTTTCTTTCCGATATTTCTCTATATTGTTTCATTCACTTGATGTTCCACTTTCCACTTTTGTTTCGAGCTTTCCTTAGCTAGATAATGTGATGCCTAGATATTTAAATTCCATCACTTGTTCCATTATCTGACCTTCTAGCTCCAATTCACATCTTAGTAAATTTGCTGAGACACAGACGAGTGTCTTTCTGACATAAATTGAATTTTAAAATTATTTAAACATAAAACGTAAAAAATAAAGTTATTTGTGTCATATTATTTGTCTTTTTTGAGAAAATTAAAATGTTAAATTTTCTGACGGTTATATTAAATTGGTGCAGCATATGTTGTATATCATCTGCACTCCGAGAGAGTAGTATTGCATCGTCTGCATAGCAGATTATTTTAAGCTGTTTTCTCCTATTGGTATTCTTTTTTAGATCTTACATTTTTAATTAATTCATCTATAATCAGGTTGAACAATAGAGGACTCAGGGAATCTCCTTGTCTTATCCCATTGCCAGCTTCAATGGGGTCAGTTAGTTCTTCTTCTACTTTTACTTTTATCGTGTTGTTTTGATAGATATTTTCTATCGTTTTGATTATTCCTAGAGGTATCTCTCTTGTACACAATAAGTGGATAACGTCCTTTAATTTGACCCGATCAAATGACTTTTTAAGGTCCACAAAACATAGATCTGCCGTTTTATTGTATTCTAACGATTTCTCTTGCACTTGCTTTATTATAAATATAGCGTCGGTGCATGATCTTCCCGCACTAAAACCTTGTTGTTTTTTGGCTAGTGTTATAATTTCATTCAATTTATTTGATATTACTTTGGATTATAGTGTTTAATAAATTAATTCCTCTCTAATATTCTGAGTCCGATTTGTCTTCCTTTTTGAAGAAGGGTATTAGGATTTTTGATCTCCATTCTGGAGGAATTCTGTTTTGTTCTATAATTTTTTGGATCAGTTTTAATAATTGTTTGGTCAGATCTGGTCCTCCGTACTTTAGAAGTTCGTTCGGTATTCTGTTTCTGCTGGTGATTTTCAATTTTTTAATTTCCTTCCTGCTTCCTTTACCTCTTCCTCCACAATATTTAGTTCTTCGTTTGTTCTCACGTCTGGTGTTGATGGTTCGTTAACGTCAAATTTAGTAAATAGGAATCAAAAGTAGTCTGCCCATGTTTCCTTCTGAATGTGTTTCGTTTGTATTAGTTCGTTCATCTTTTTTTTTTGTTCTCTGATTGTTCTCCATATCTTTTTGTGTTCCGTAGAAGTCGTATTCCATCTGTTTTGAAAAGCTCTCCCAGTGTTCCCTTTTCATCAACAACGTATAATATAATAAACACAGACGAGTGTCTTTCTGACATAAATTGAATTTTATAATTATTTATTTAAACATAAAACGTCAAAAATAAAATTATTTGTGTCATATTGTGTCTTATTCCCAACGAAAATAGTAATGGCATTAAGATGCCACAAGAAATTGCTTGAGAACAGTACATTGATCCTATTAACATTTTATAGAAACTCTGGAACATTGCACAGGTGACAAATTGGTACAACTACCAGCATTTCTTTGCTTTTTTTACAAAAAAACATGTTTTTTTTAGAAATACTGTAAAGACCTTTTATACTGCTGGTATGTTGATGGATGTTCTAGACCAATTTGGTAATCTAGCTGAAGACATAAGAGAAAAGCGTAAATATGCTAAGTGGAAAGCAGCTTACATCCATAATTGCTTAAAAGCTGGGGATACACCAATGCCTGGTCCACCCAGACCATATAATGAGGAAGATTCTGATGGTATTGTACACAACAGTCAATTGACTCAAGAAGAGCTTTCTACATTTGCAAAATATACTGGACCTGGAACTATTGATGGTAACGAATTACTATTTTGTCTTCCTGATTTATTTTTGTTCATTCAAGATGTCTAAATTCATTTTTAATCAGCCCAGTAATATTATTAGTTGAAATTTTAATTAAAATATAATGTTTATTATTATTTATTGTTTCAGTTCAACCAAAGCCAGCAGATCAACCTCTTCCTCCATTAGATGATACATTTAACCCTTCAAAGCCTCTGATCCCCCCTGACGACTCTTTCACTCATGCTCCTGCTTCATCCCCCATAACTCCTCAATACCCAACAAATATTCAACCTCAAGTCCCATCTCCATACAATCCTCCCCCATCAGTATCTTCTCCATTTGATGCAGTACCTTCTACCCCATCTCCAAGTGCAGTGATTCCCAGCCCCCAGCCAAGACAATCACCACTATCAACTGGGTACACTCCAACAGCCCAAGACATACAAAAGGCACAGAAGTTTTCAAAATTTGCCACATCAGCCTTAAATTATGATGATACTAAGACAGCTTTAGATTATCTTCAGAAAGCCATGAATTTGTTAGTTTGTGGAAAAGAAGATTGAGCAATTTTATTGATAGATTTGTATATGCAATTTTTAAGAGATATTTGTTGTTGACTTTATCATTAATCAAACAACGGTATGAAAATGTATTAAATAATACAGCTCTGTACGTTGTTTTTGTGACGTGAATCATACAAAATAGCGGAAGGTCGCTATTTCGTTAAATTATTTTAACTAATATATATATATATATATATATATATATATATATATATATATATATATATATATATATATATCATGTAGTACTTTATTTGAAAGCATTACTAGAGTTGTATGCAATTCTGTTTCCTCTCGATTGAGAATTGCAGCTGTGTTAAAAAAATATGCACTACCCCTATTAAAATGGTAGTATTCAACTTTTATGGAAAACACTTGAATGGGTTAATTTATTTTTCCAATTTCTCACGTTAGGTTAGAATTATTTTGCTTATTTATTGACGTGTGTCGATAATATTACATCATCGACATTTTTTTTCTTAAATCACATATATGGCATATGATCATTTCAAAGCTCTTACCTTCCAGATTTTTGTATGATTCAATGATAATAGTGTAAAAAGTATGACCTTAACAAATAATTCATCTCCTGTTTTGTTTCTAGTAATATATTGAGTGTCAAAAGTGCTTTCAAATTATGTATTAGAAGTCAAATATTGTAATTTAAAGAAATATGGCGTCATACTATGACTATAAATATGACCGAAACTGGAAAAAATTTACATGGTGTGCGTTTTAAAGCTGAAGACTATCAAATTATTAGGAGAAGTCTACTTTTACACAGTCACCATTAAACATTTAACCGTCACCATTTTGAAATAGCACGGCAGAATCGCATAATAATCTAGCAACGTACTCATTGAGACAGGAGGTTTCAAATAAATAATTAGTTGTCATTAGATCCGATTTAAAATATTTTTTATTATATTAAATAATTGACAAATTTTTCTCATACGATTATTATTATATTTTATTTTATTCAAAACATTTGTCTGGGCGGTATTCTGTATTTTTTCATCTTCTGGTGCACTTCTTTACTGGAGGTTTGCTATCACTACATCAAAATGCTATTCTGCGCCACGCTTAGTAATTGTTGAACGTGCTTTTCCGTTCAAGCTCTGATATTGCGAAGCCATGACATGGCTCTTCTGCCTACTACTCTTAGGTCCTCTTCTTTAATCATATCTTTCGCTCAATTATTCGTAGCCGGTTATATTTGTAATTTCTCATTATGTGGCCTAGGTAGGAGGTCTTTTTTTATCGTTATAATTTCTAACTCTCTTATTATGGTGTTTAATACTGTTCGATTCGTAATGTGTTGTGTCCATAATATTCTGAGCATTCTGCGATAAAGCCACATTTCAAAGGCTTCTAGTCGTCTTATGGTATTTAATTTTAATGTCCAAGATTCAATTCCATACAAAAAGACTAACCAAAGGTAGCATTTAATAACTCGAATTCGGATGTCTTAGTTTAGTTTTCGGTTATAGATAGTTTGCTTCCATTTATTGTACATTTTTCTAGCCTGTTTTATTCTGTAAGATTCAGTATACCTGTTTATATTAATTCTACACATATTTTTGTAGTGGGTTATCTATACTGTTTTCATGCCAATCTTCTGCTTTTGCCAATTTCGGTGTCTTTCTAATCTTTCAAGCATTTTCTATCCCCATAGTAATGACATTAAACCTTTCTTGATCGTTTGTTGTACGGAAAATTTACTTTTCGCCCCGGATTCCGCAATCATAAGAAACTTGTATGACTAATCCATCTCTTCTACTTTTTCCTGGACAATCATGCGAGGTATGGTATTTAATGCCTCTCTCTGCTTGGTCAAAGTAGTTAACTTCTCCACCACCACTACATCCCAAACGCCACTATTTTATAAATTATATCTACCTTTATCGTTCATGTTTCGCAACCATAAACAAAAACAAACTACACATAACATTTGAGTGTTCTTACTCTCGTTTGAGGAGTTAGGTTTGTGTTTTTAAGTGCGGGTTTCAATTCACTGAATTTTAGCTTTTACTTGTTTGACGCATGTGATTTCAACGTGTAGCTAACTTTTCAAATATTTAAAGTTTGATACTAATTCGCCCGCCAATCATCAGTATTTATGTAATATGAAATTAATCCAAGTCCATCCATTTTGTCTTTTTGATGTTTATATTCTATGCCCCACCTTCGACTGACTGTGTGCCATCCAGTAGAAACTGTAAATCTCTCGATGCTTACCGCTGTAATCATGAATGTAAAGGCCGTATCATGAATGTAAATTATATTCTTTATTGCCTCTCCTCTTATTCTTACACCTTCGCTCATATCATAAAGCGCCTCTTGACACATATTTTACAAATATATATTAAACACCAACGGAGATACAAACAGCTCTTTAGCAAAATAATGTCTCCCTTGTTCCTAGACCATTACGGAATCCAAATTGTTCTTTATCAATATTTAGTTCACATTAGGCACTTATTCTTATTCTTTTTAGCAGTACCTTACGGAGCATTTTTAAAATGTGACTAATCAAACTTAGCCCAGAGAAATAAACATTTTTTCATGACACTCGTCCGGCCAGCAAACACAGTTGTTTTGAGTAGTATGGACCTCTGTAACAAAAACCTATATATCCTGAAGTCGATTTTTTGGACTTAATTAGTTATCTAATTATCATCGTCTATCAGCAAAAAGTGAAGCATTTGAAACAAAGTTTAGAAGAGAAGAAACTTTTAAGTGATAAAAAAACCTTCAAAATGGCCTTTCTAAATGTTTCTATCCTTATTTGTTGTTTGGAAGTAAGTCAAATATTTCGGCTTTTTACAAATTTTAATAACTTTTTTGAAAATAAATTTGTATTTCATGGAATGTTGTGTCTTCTAGTGCTTAAAATATGGTCAAAATTTCAAAACAATCTGTCTAATAGTTTAAAGTTATTTTATTTGTTTATCCCATTTTTTTTATATTTAAAAAGCTTGAATTTTTTCACAAATTTAAAAGAAAAAAATTTTGTTCTAAAATAATTTGGACCAAAGTTAGCCATTTTTTTTTTATTTAATTCATAGCAGCTTTTTTTATAACCCTTAGAAAATCTGATTAGCGCTATTTGAAAGAATATACTTTATAGTTTTAATGTACCAAATTCTAAAAATATTGCCCTTTAATGAAATCGTCCACAAAGCTTCAAAATTTTTTCTTTAAAATCAGCCGACTTTGAAACTCGCTGTAGCTGAAGGGCTGGGGAAGGAGCTGTTAACGTTATATCTGGTCCTTTTGCATATATTTCAACGTTTCTTTTTAAACTTGTATGTACTTGTACGTACATTACGAATATACAGTATTTAAATAAGTAAATTGTCAAATAAACAACCTAATTTGTTAAAAAAAAATATTTTCAATTTATTTTAGTAATATCCAAGGTAAGTTTGAATTTAAAACAGAAATATTTATGATTAATGTATATTTCTTTAATAAAATTGTAAATAATTTATTAATATTTTGATATGATAGAAATAAATTTTTTTTCCTAAAAATTTTACTTACATATTTTTTTATCCTATCTATGTAAATTTATCAATCTATTTTTTACAATATTGTAAGTAAATCTAATCTAATACATATAATTTTTTCATTACAATAATTGCATGTATTCAAATATACACTCAAAGATCATGTCAGGGACTCCCCTACTGTCGAGTAAATGGACCATTCCATTTTGTTGGATCATTTTGTTTCGCTAATTAAATGAAATGTTTACAATATTTCAAAAATATACTGAAAACAACAATTCGAATTCACAATGATTTCAGAAAGCAAAGGAAAAAGAGAAGTAGAAGGATTAAGTGTACAAAGGTATAGTTTTATTTTTATATGTTTTAACTCCTTTTTCAACTTAATTTATTATTAGGATTACATTACCGTTGATTTACAAGTATACCTTATAATTTTTTCAATATAATGTTAATATCTAATATTGTTCTGAAGCTATTTTCTTGTGGCATCTTAATGCCATTTCCTATTTTTTTTTGGGAATAAGCCACAATTTAATTTTATAGTAAGTTTAGTTTTGACGTTTCGATTTCTACTTCGGAAAACCTTCTCAAAATACAGAACATTAATAAATTAATCATGTTTAATGTTAAAGTCAATTAATTTTGTTTTTTGGTTACTCGATAGAAAAATTTTCTAAAATTTAATTTTATCTGACTCGTTCATATAGACTCGTTCATATAATATATATATATATATATATATATATATATATATATATATATATATATATATATATATATATATATTAATTTTGTCTGAATCGTCTACATCAATGGTGCTCAAAGGGTCGATCGCCAAAGTTTTTGAAGTCGGTCGCGATTCACGGAGAAAATACGGGGACTGTCCTGCCTCAGCACACGTGCATGATCGAAATAATTATGATGCTAACTGTTTACCCGAAAGTTGCGATTATGCCGATTCGGCATATCAGCATTCACATATAAATTATTTTTTTAAATATTTTAAACTGGGGTGTGCTGTATCGGCATTGTATTGCTGTTAGTCAACATTACTAAGTTGATTACTAGTAAAACATTTTAGTAATATATTATTTACATTAATATTTGAAACTCGATATGAGTGCCGCGAAAAAGAGTAAAACATATCATTCTAATAATGCGTGGAAAGAAGAATTCCTGTTTACTATGGTGAAAGATAAGTGTGTTTGCCTTATTTATTGGTGTTCCGTTGCTCTGCCCAAACGCGGAAATTTAGAACCCGCCTTAGAAAACTTTGCATAAAAACTATGAAAATGATTTTCCGTAAAACAGTTTGTTTAGAAAATGGAAAGTGTAAGACTTGAAAAGTAATTTAAAGACGGAACAATCAATGTTCGCTAGGCCGTTAAACAATCAGTAGCTGCAACAATTGCGTCGTTCAAAATTTCTTCTTGTGATTTTTCATCGTTTTTTTCATTTCATTGCATCATTCACCAGCAAGTTTTGTGTTACAAAATTTTAAATATGGATGACACCATGAATATGATCACAAAAATTGTGAATTCAATCAGAGCGCGAAGCTTGCAACGACGTCTTTTTAAAGCACAATAGG